ATTATTCCAAACATTCTATTTGCTTTTTTGACTGGTGCAGCACACTGAGTAGATGTTTTCAGAGAACTATCCACAATGACTTCAAGATCTCTCTCGAGTAGTTGTAGCTAAATTAGTCCCCATCATATTGTCTGTATAGTTGGGATTATTTTTTCCAATGTGCTTTACTTTACATTTATCAAGATTAAATTTCATTTGCCATTTTGTTGCCCAATTATTTAGTTTGGTGAGATCTTTTTGAAACTCTTGGTCTTAACTATCTTGAGCAGTTTGCTATCATCTGCAAATTTTGCCACCTCACTGTTTACCCCTTTCTCTAGATCATTTATAAATAAGTTGAATAGAGAACTGGGAGGTTGACTTCATCTCTGTATAAGCATCCTATTTGGCTCTCTATTTCTATGGAAGTCCATAGGAGAGAATCATGATCATGTCTTTTTGATATGATATTACTTGATTCCATGACACAGATAGTGGATCTACCACTGTTCCTATGGCAGCCAATGACTTCAAGTGAAAGCTCTGAAACCATTTTTATTCTGGAATTGTTAAAGATCTACCATTATGCTTCAGCAGGGATAGTTTTTAATTATCACTTGCACCGCAGTCTAATACTAGTAATCACACCAGTTTTGGCATCTGTCAATAAAGATACACCATCCTAATGAGAAAATTATTCACATGATGTTTCACTGAAAATGTCTAAATTTCCATGAAACTGCTTCAACTTAAGCACTGCAATAGTCTTCCAAGGGAGACTGTAGAGCCTCCACCATCGGAGGTTTATAAGAACAGGCTGGGAAAACACATCAGGGATGGTTTAGGTATGCTTGGTCCTGCCTCAGCCAGCTGGAGTAGATGTCCTCTTCAGGCCCCTTCCAGACCTATATTTATATGCATCTACATATGATCTCAGTTATACTCATTATTATTAAAGGTATGACCATTTAATAATAAATAAACATTTGATTTAAATGCAGCACCAGAAGATATGTTCTAGAAATCACAAACCAGAAAGTAAACAATGGAAAATCCAGTTGTCACCTCTGCAGCTCAGAGACCTTCTTAGCATTAAAACTGATGAGGGTCAAAGGCTGTATCTCAAGAAGAAACCCACATTAGAGCTTTGGAATACAGGATTTTTAGATGTCTAGGAAGGAATGATGATCTTACACTGCTCCCACTCAAGCCAACAGTAAAAGCCTCAGAAGTTGAACACTTATTTTGGGGATTCACCTTTGTCCTGCTTTTATGATTAATTACTTGGGTGGCAGAGCAAAATGATATTTTAGTTGAAGGATTTTAACAGGGCATCAAAATGGTGCAATGGGGTGGAGAATTAGTCCCTCTGATTTGAAATTTGAGATTACAAAGAGAAGAATGTTAGTACGTCCACACACAAACACTCTTTGCATTTGAGTCCCTAAATGAAGAAGTTAAAAAGTGGAAAAACATAAAGTAATATATTTAGACATACTCCTGCTAGGTGCTGAGCACTTCTAGTATCATAAGTGGCGAGGAGTCCTGTGGCACCTTATAGACTAACTGAAGTGTTGGAGCATAAGCTTTTGTGGGCAAAGACCAACTTCGTCAGATTCATGTCTAGTATCATAGACTACAACACTCAGCAATAATAACAAGACCTACTTATTCAAAGGAACAACTCACTGATACAGGGAGAAAGTTTCCTTTGGCAATTGAAGTCTTAAAATCAATATTGCTTTTTTGAAAGACATCCATTCTCAGCTAAAAAATATGGGATTGATAAAGGAATGACTGAGTAAACTTCTATGGTTTGTTTTTTGCAGAAGTCAGGCTAGATGATCCTAGGACCATTGTGATCTTAAAATCTATGTATCATCTAGTACTATAAATGTCAATTTTAGTCAATGAATCTTAGGATGCATATATCCCAGTCAACATTTAGTGCCATGGTGGATCCCCATAATCCAAGACAGATTATGTTAAATTTCTAGGGAACTACATACAAATCTCAGTTTTGCTGACGATTTTATGGGCCACGTTCTATGACATTTTTTGGCTGCCATTATTTTTTGCATAATTTATTTTATTTGCCAAGCCAAGGTCAACTTTGATAAATATGCAACACATTCTGTAAACTGCAAGTCACATGGAGAATTCCACTTATACATATATGCCTTCATGACTATTACTGTGTGGGCATAAGACCCACCAAAATTTAATCCAATTCATTTATGTTTTGAAATAGACCTGGTGGCACCTGCATTTGCATCTACTGCCTCTCTCTAACATAATTTGCATATTGAAATTACAGACACCAATTTCATTAGACTGTGCCTGCATTCAAAGTGACTTTGCCTCAGAAGTTGCCAAGAAGGTTGAAAGAAACAGTGAAGTGGGGCATTTAGGATTAATTTGGCATTGCAAGCTTCAAAGAACATTCTTTTTAAATGCAGACAATTTAAATCCAAGAAAGTCATTCACTGCTTTTGCAGGATGTGAGTACTTACTTCAGGGATACTGATCTGAGGAAGCGGGTTTTGCCCATGAAGGCTTATATATATACAGGCAGTCCCCGGGTTACGTACAAGATAGGGACTGTAGATTTGTTCTTAAGTTGAATTTGTATGTAAGTCGGAACTGGTACATATTGTAGGGGAAACTCTAGCCAAACATTTCTCCAGAGCTCAGTTTTATTCTCCCACACCTCACTTCCCTCAGTCCTTTATTCTCAAACTGAGGTGTCTGCTGAGAAAAGCCGCTCTGCGTCTCCCTGGTCTGCTGGGGGGAAGCAGCTAGTGCGGGGTTCCCTCACCCCATTTGTAAGTAGGGGTCCGATGTAAGTCGGATCCATGTAACCCGGGACTGCCTGTATATATATATACACATATATATATGTTAGTCTCTAAGGCTAAGTCTACACTATCAGGTTATTTCAAAATAAATTATTTCAAAATAATAATTCCCAAAATAACTATTTTGAAATAAGCTCATTCCTCTTCACAAGAAGGAGCTGGTTCAAAATAACAAGCCCATTATTTCAAAATAACAGTCTTGGTAGTGTAGATACTCGCTTTGTTATTTTGAAATAAGGGAGTTATTTCAAGATAAATCCCTGCTGTAGACATGCCCTAAGACAGGAGTTCCCAAACTTTTTGACACGGGGACCAGTAAATCCATTCACGAACTTTTGGAGGACCAGTAATGTTCATTTGCATATTTGCGTATTCATTAATCAAATTATGAATATTCAAATACGTTGTCTCTGGTCCTCCCAAATCTCCCAGTGCCAGCTTTAGCAAAGCTTTTGATATGGTCACCCACAATATTCTTGCCAGCAAGTTAAGGAATATGGATTGGATAAATGGGCTGTAAGACAGACAGAAAGCTGGTTAGACCAGGGTTTCCCAAACTTTTTACTTTAATTGGAACCCTTTTTTTTCAGTTCTGCTTTTTGCAGCCCAAAAATATAAAAACATGAAAAACAAACGAAGAAAATACCAGACATATAACATGTCTGGTATTTTCTCAGTAGGTAAGTTGTATTATTACTAGATGTATCAGTTTGTAGTTTCAAACTGCCTGGCTGGTAAATGTGCTCAGGCTGCATGAGTGTGTCTACCAGCCAGATAGTTCGCAACTACTCGAGGGGTTTGTATGTGTGTGTATGTTGGGGGGCCGACGACAGTAGAATCCCTGTGCCAGACTAACTCGTGCTTTGTGGGTTGTGGGTGGCGGGAGAGGGGGGAACGGGGTCGGGTCAGTCCCACTCCCCGCAGGCCGATTCATTCCTCCTCCCAGTCCTCTTGCTGCGCCTCTGGCCAGCCCCACTTCCCCCAAGCCCCTCCCCGG